TCCCAATTTGAAGAGACCCTTGTCCAGCAGGCCGAAGCAAAGAGGCAGTCCTGAAATCAGCAAAATCAGGGAGCTGGACAGGGGACAGATTGTATTTGTCCTCAGTGTGGAAGGAATGGTCACTCTCAAATTGGCCTCCTCAGCCACACTAGATGCTGTTCCAAGTCCTCCATACAAAGCATGTTACCATAGTCTCTCGAGACTGAAGGATGCCTAATCCTAAATCCTAAAATAATTTGGTTAGAATACTGAACTCGAACTGACAAGCTCAGTCACACTTGCCAAAAGAACCCCAGTTATACTGATTTGGCTGGCTTTTTAGATCTTTATTTTCCACTCACATGATGCACAGGCAACATTGATTCATTTGCCCTGGCAAGTTGTTTATTTCCGCCTCACTGGGAGGGTTTTAAAAAATTATTCCAGTGATGAATCACTTCATTCTTTTTGTTTCAGCATGATTGAATGCTGTCGATTTATTTCCTTTGCAGAGGAGTTGGGTTTCTGGGTACTGTGGCCAATTTATGGCCACTGCGCTCTCACCCTTTTTATTATTATTATTTTTATTTAAAGGGGTGTTGGTAAGCTTCTTGTTTTCACTAGTTGTGGCTGCTCCTAGCAAAAACAACATGAATGCATGTTGCTCAAAATGAGACAGCTCAAAGGAGACATGCTCCCCCCTCCCTTGCAAGTGAAAGAGGGCTAGAATATATATGCAGTATATATATATATAAAAATTCAAATTTCCACCCAGCCTGCATCTCACCAACTTTACCCCAGTCACTCTTTTCCAACATAACCAACCTCATTGTTGAGTCTGTTGTGAAGATATACTGACAAAATTGTGTATGCCTCTCTAAGCTCCTTAACAAGAATACTAGGTTTAAAAGGTAATTGCAGTAAATAAGCACAGACTGCTCACTCTTCCGTTTTTCTCTTCACGGCAGATGGAGGCGAAAGTGGTCATGGCCAAATTTCTGCAGAGGTTTGAATTCCAGCTGGTTCCACCACAGAGCTTTAGAGTTTTGGACACAGGGACACTGAAGCCTGCAGATGGCGTGGTATGCAGGTTGAAACCACGATGTCATTAATTAAAATTCAGTGGAATGTTAGAAGCCATATGGGGAAATGTTGAAGGATATTTAGTCCACAGTCAGTGTGATTCGGTGATTTTGGATTTTGAGGGTGAGGTGGCATCTGTGGCCGCCCTTCTTAATATTCAGCAGCTTGTTCTTTGCCCTTGTATTGGTTGCCTGTATATTTCCCTTTGTCTTTGGACCGAATCCAGAACACCACATGAATTAAAGGCTGCTGCTCCTTTTCAGGCAAGGGTGGGTGGAAAATGACGACAAAGGAGCGGCAGAGTCACCTGGCAGTGGACTCCTTGCTGTAAGGTGGGCCTTCATGGCTCTCCAGC